CTCTCAGGATTTATCCTGAGATCCTATACCTCAGATTGTAGAACCTTTGTCAGTGTCAGCCATGTGGATGAGTCACGGCCATTGCTCAGCCAATGTGCTCTCTGTGAAAGGCTGAGAGAATGTTTTCTCTCCATGTGACTCTCTTTAGGCACACTCTGCCTCATCAATCACTTTCCTCTTTGTCCCCTCTTTGATCCATTTTGACTATAGTTTTGTTCATGGTGCTAGGAATGGGTCTATTTTAAGCTTTTGGCATGTGGAAAGCCAATATTTCCAGTATCATTTATTAAAGAGGCTATTTTTATAAAAGGACAAATTAAAGAAGTGAAAAACATATATTTAGGTATATATGCAGAAAATAGTTTGGATAATTGTATTGTTGATTTCTGCTGGTCTTTAGAAAGGAGCCATTAATGCTTAAATTATTTTTTACTCTGATTTTTCCCTCTCTTTTGAATGCCTTATAAGTTCTTTCTTTTGTTTTTTCTCTTTAAATGAACCTTACACCTTTATATCTGCTAATCTGAGCAACTAATTCAAAGATAGCATCATGTAATACAGTAACCATTGTTAAATTCCTATTACTTTAGTGAGACTTTTTATTGTTTCTAATGCTTTTTTCCTGTCACTATTTTGTATCCTTTAAAAATGAAAAAATAAATAAATAAAAGAACCCAGTGAAAGATTTGCTGCATGAAAATTTTAGTAGGTTACAATCGAAGACTCATTAGGAAAAGAGGAGAGGGAATCAATGGAGAACAGAGATATTTTCAAGGAGCAAACCAGAAAAAAAGGGAAATCAAAGGATTTAAAAAAAGGGAGGGAAAGAAATGTCTGAAGGGAGTGGGGTATCTGCAGAAAGCAAGAAGTTAACAAATGAGAATCAAATATTTATTACTCTAGGTAATATATTTGAAGAGAGAGCAAAGTGCAAGCGCAAATCTCACGTTACAAGACTAAAAAAGCTGATGCATCCTAATTTGAAGAAGAGTTTAGTTTTCCTTATTATTCTTCTTCCCTGATTGTTAAAAAGTTTGCTTGATGTGGAAATTTTGGAGGCATTGTCAGCTTCCTCAACCCAATTGCCTACATTCATTCTGAGGATAACTTCATGGCTGCCGAACTGTTCTTGAAAATATGACCACTGAGAATAACCTTAATAGCTTTCTTAAACCATGGGTAAAATAAAGCATAAATCAAAGGATTCATGGCTGAGTTGTAATAAGCGCACCAAACACAAATCTCATAAATATAGGCGGGCGTGATGAAGCCCATAAAAGCATCGATTAACGAATCAATGCTGTACGGCAGCCAGGAGATCATAAATGCTATCACCGTAATCCCCAGGGTTTTAGCTGCTTTTCTCTCTCTCTTGGCTACTCTGGCTTTGTAACTTTCAGAGGATGATTCCCCTGTGTTACCAGTGTTTTCAATCTTTTTAGCCTGTTGTCTAGCCACAAGAAATATATTACTATACAGAATTATCATAATAAAGGTAGGTATTAAGAAGGATAGAAAATCGATCAGCACCCAGTTTTGATTGACGACTACCTGACAACCTCCTACGCAGTTGAGGGCGCTGGATAATTCCTCCAGCCCGTCGTCATAGACACCTGTGTAAAACACAGCTCCGCTGTATACCAGGGGCAGCATCCAAGAGACAACAATGCAAACGCCCGACACAGACACTGTGAACTTGGCGGGATAGGCCAGGGGCTCGGTGACCGCAATGTACCTGTCGACGGAGATGAAACACAGGTGGAAGAGAGAAGAGTAGCAGAACGCCACATCGCAGCACGTGTGGAAAGTGCAGAAACTCCTCCCGAAGTACCAGCAGCTCTCCACCGACCTGACCATGCTGAAGGGCATCACAGTGACGCCCACCAGGAAGTCGGCGCAGGCCAGAGAGGCGATCAGGAAATTGGTGGGTGAGTGCAGCTGCCTCAAGTGGAGGATGGAAGTCACGACCAGGAGGTTTCCCAAGACAGCCAGCACAGCGCCAGAGCCAAACACCGCATAGAGAAGCACCCGGGGCCCGGGCGAGTAGGGCGCTTTCACGCAGGACCCGTTCACGTCGGGGAAGCAGAGCTGCGCCGCTACCAGCGGGGACGAGTTGCTGTTCATGGCGCTGCTGTTAGCATGTTCCCAAGTCCTGCCTTCCACTTTGAAAAGAGCAGAGGACTGCGGTTTTTCAGTACTCTTAGGGAAAGAGGCCCTCATGAATCCAGCACAACGACTGAAGTAACTATCAAACTCTAATGCCAATAAAAATTTCAAGGTTTCATTTGTATGTAAATTAAACAATGTTTTCTAGGAAAATAAAATCCAAAAGAACTCCTATTTTTTAAAAGATGAATGAAGAATGACTAGCAAGTACCTCAGTTATTAATCTGATAAAATTCTCTTTGACTCCTAAATGCGGTTTTGTCTGAGCAGGACTCACTGGCTTGCAGTGCAGACCTGCAGTTGGTGCGTCCTTCCTGCAGATTGACGCCTTCACTGCCTAAAGGCTGCAGCCCATCCAGCTAAATAGAAGCCAGCCATGGGAAGATCCCCTGACGATGTCCCTACAGTGCAAGGTGTGAACTTGCAAGATTATTTTTAACTGTGATTGCTAGGACAGTTACTAAACAAAAATAATTCACTCTTTTATAATATATTCAGTGACATTTGTGTATTTCAGGTAAAAATTTCTTTTTTTTTCCTGCATAGATTAGAATCCCTTCCACATCCCCCAAACTGTGTGAGTTTAGTATATCACTGGACTTTTATTGCAAAGATACAACAAGGTACAAGATTTCAAGGTCAACTTGGCTGGTTTTATCCTGTTAAGAAACATATCTGCATCTACAGTAGCTACCCCAACAAGGAAAGATTAAATGCAGGGCTGGGAGACTTGAGATTGATGAAATATGTTATACAAAACCATTAAGAAACTACATGACATTTTAAAAAATAATATTTTTATTAGTACATGTTTGAGTACATAGTGTTTACCTTCCTTTTGGGAAATTACTGTGGTACATAATACATCTTAATTCCTTTTTATCTCTTTTCTTTCTCTTCCTCACCTATTTCATTTCTCTCTCTCTCTCTCTCTCTCTCTCTCTCTCTCTCTCTCTCTCTCTCTCTGCATGATTACACTACCTAATGTTTATGTTGCTTGCATTGAGTTGTTACATATACACAACACGTTTGTGTTTTCATTTCTTTCTTCTTACTTTTCGTTCCTTCCCTCCCCCCTCCACCCCTGGATTTCCTGACCCTCCAAGCAATGTCTGTCTTCTACTTCCTGTTAGATGCAGCAACACTGCCAAGGTGGGTGGGGGCATCAGTTCTCTCAGGAAACTCACTTTGAGCACACCTGCCACCTGTCGCTATCTTGTGACAGATGAACAATGAACTCTGATTACACAATTGTTTGTGTTTCTTAGCAATTTGAGCTTGCTCCTCCTGATGTTAGAGAAGAATTTTTTTTTCTAAAATACTGAGTAGAAGATAGGAAGATAAAAGGAGTCATTGGAAGCACTCACAGACCTGGAATAGTGGAACACTGCAGAGCAAGAGCAAGCATCTCTAGTCTTCCTGAAAATGAGTTCAAGGCTCTGGCAGCACAAGGCCACAACTTCAGAAAGACTTGGGAACTTCTCTTGCCCACTCGAGAGGTATTTTTTATTACATCAACTGACCATCTGATCACTAATTAATAAAATTAACACTTTTAACCAAATATTTTTTCATATTCCTAATATTGTCTGAACATCTAATTTTGTGAAATTATATCAATTTCTTGTGTAGGCAAAAATCTATGCTAACCTCTCTTCACTTGAGCACTACTGACAATTGAGTTACAATAGCCCTTATAAAAAAGAAGCTGTTTTCTAGGTTGTGCAGCTGAGTAGCATCTCTCATGCTATTTATAGATGTCAGTCAAATTTGCTGTTTTTGCCATCCATAAATGATAGCATTTGACAAATGACCTCAGTGTGAAAACTTAATCCCCTTTGGGTCCATTGTTCTAGGTATTTACTGTAAAATGTACACAGTGGTAGCTATCACTTTGGGTAGAGAAATAATTTTATACCTCCCTCCCATCACTCCAAAATTTAGTCATTAATTCATTTCTCCACTCTACACACACTTAGCACATGTCTTTGAAGGGTATTAAGTAATGAGCAAAACACATTTTCATGAGGCTCCAGATGTTGAGAGGAAAACATGGGTATTGGTATGGAGGCTCAGTGGACTGGATCTTAGATCTGTCCTTGGGTTTGGTAGAACACACCTCTGGGCATGCCTGGGTGGCCATGAGGCATGGTCCTGGCACTGTGTCTGGCCCTCACCCATTCTTCATGGATACTCATCCCCTGCCCTGCTCCCCAGCTGCCGTTAAGCAAGCAGCTTGGATCCCATGCCCTTTGCCATGATGCTTCTGCAGAGCCAGCTAGCTGTGGATGGAAACCACAAGCAAGTTAAGCCTCTTCTCTATCACATTGTTTATGTTGGGTTTTACATCTTACTTATGAGAAAAATGACTATCACAAAAAATTGGTAGCAGGGAAGTGGGGTCATTGCTGTGACTGTACATGTGGTTAAGAGACCTTTGGATTGGGATAGCATGGAAGAGTTTGGGAAGGTTTGAGGATGTGGGGTAGGGAAGCCTTAGAATACTACAAGTGGTGCCTGATGAGTGATTCTGGCCAGCATTCAGAAGACCAGAGTGCTGACCAGAATCCAAATATTAAAGGCAAGCAGAAGAGGTTTCGGAGCAAAGGCTCCACTGGGAGTTGGGCTACAGCCATGCATGTGATGCCTCATCAGAAATTGTGTGAATATTTTTTCCCATGTCCTGAAAATTTGCAGGCAACTGAGGTGAAGAGCACTAGACTAATTAACCTGGTAGAAAAATCACAGGCCAGCCTAATACACTGTGCCACTGGCAATGCTGGCTGATTTTATCTAGACTTATAGTGAGAATCAGGAGCAGAAGTTAGAATAAAAATTTTTGAAAGATTTATTTTGGCTTCACTTATATAAAGTTGGGGCCAAAGAATGTATGAGTAACAAAGTGATCAGTATCTAAAAAGACATCATACACTTCATGCTGTGTCAAGGAAAAGATGCTTTGAGGTCTCTTAGAAGTCAGGAAGACCCCGTTCATTGAAGGCTCAAGGGTATGAAAGTGTCAGAATTTCTTTTGGGAGAAGAGCCACTGCAATTCCTGCTCAAGAAGGTCCTCTAGAATTTTGGTTTCAGAGATTTATTTCATTGGGCTCAGGCACCCAACCACGCAGGGGCCCCTACGCCACAGTCTCCAAGGGTCCCTGTTTCTGTTGCTGCTGACCGAACACCTTGGTGTCTTCCACACGATGCTGCTTTAACTGGAATGCAGAAGGGTAGAGTTGTAGCATCAGGGCTTTTCCCACCTGCATTCTAAAGGAAGGCCTTGGAGGCTCTGTAAGGAGTCCTAGAGAGGGCGGTGGCTGAATGTGTGGGGATAAAGCCAAAGGTGCAGTGGAGATTCCAGGAAATTTGAGATATCACAAATGTGGAACATCTTCTAAGGAAAGCTGTAAGCTTTGAAAAGAACTAGTCCACGCGAGGTCAGGTGGACTGTACCTGGCCAGGCTACAAGATTGGGAGCCTCCCAGGTTCTTTGGGAATCACATTTTATTATCATGTGTCCTAAATATCAGATATGGAGCTCTAGGAATTGCTTCTTCCTGCTTGTTTCCTGTCTTCCTTTGGGGCAGTCCTTTTCTATTTCTCCATTCTTCCCTTTTGGCATGAGAATATTTATACTCTGCCATTCATTATGCTTTGCGATTGTGAAGTTTGTTTATTTTTACAGAGGTTCACAGATAAGAATTTTGAAATGCTGGAACTGTTGAGTTGTTAAGGAGGGGAATAGTGGGCATCTTGTTGTATGTGGGATAGTTGTATTGTTCAGCAAAAGTATACACTTGCTATCATCTTTATTTGGAAATCAATTGCCATGTAAAGAGATACATTTGAGTATAAGACTGACAAAGGTCTGGATGTTGTGGTGAGGGAGGAGTTCAGTTTGACTGGATTTGGAGTCTTATCCAGGGATTGATGGAGCACACATTTAGGTCTGTCTGGGTGAGTCACGGAGGCCTGGCCTTGGCGTGTACATCTGGTTGACCCTTGCCCTTTCTTCTCTGGCCTCTCCTTGCACCCCCTGCTTTATTTCTCAACCATCACAAACAGTGTAGCTTAGCTCCCCTGTAGTGCCCTTCTTGCACGATGCTGCTGCCTTTAACCCAGCAGGCCATGGACTGAAACTGTGAGAAAATCAAACCTCTCTTCTTTTAAGTTGCAGGTGTCAAGTACTATACCTCAGTGATGAGGAAGCTGGCAAATACAGGAAGTGGACCTGAAACAAATTGGTTGAGAGTGGTACACACACTCAAATGCAGGCCAGCTCTGGGAAGGAGAAACACAGTGCCTGTAATAGCACAGTGACCATGGGGAGGGCAGCTGCAGACAAAGAAGTGCCCCAAATTGAGTGAAATAACAATGCTTTTTTGACAGTGGTAAAATCTGAGTATTCTATTTTTGCTACACCATCTAAATTTAATGGAGCAACCTAGGTTAATTGGTATTTTTATGTTTGTACTTAGTCAATAGAGAGCACTGGGGTGGGATTGTTGGAGGCTCTTCCCAAAGCCCCAAATTTCTTGAACAGATGTGACCCTTCCAACATTGTTTACATGACCATCTTCAGTAATTCATTTTGCAACACAACACATAAAAAGCCAGGCAGAGGGTCTGTGTCCAGAGGTTAATGATTCTATCATCCAGGGAGGTTCACAAGTAAACTTTTGGTTCTTGCACAACAGAAAGTTTTGTCTTATTTCCCCACTTGAGCTTAAGTTTTCAGGTTGATGTAACTCCCAGAGATATTTCTACAATAAAGCCCACTAACTAGACCATTTCCCCAGTGACTTGGACTGTGAACCACTTCTTATTATGACCAAGAGAAGACAGATGTGATAATGATGCTCTGTTGTCATGGTGATGCCCACACTCAGAAGACTGTTAATGAGAAGCAGGGGAGAGAAGTGTTTCTTACTCTTGACTCTAAGGGTTGGAAGCTAGAG